AGGGACAATTCAGAAAAGGAAGTTCATGGTAATGAAGGAGGGACAATTCAGAAAAGGAAGTTCATGGTAATGAAGGAGGGACAATTCAGAAAAGGGAGGTGCTTGCTAGTGGCTGCACAACTTGAAGAAGGTAATCAATGTCACTGAAATGTACTATTGAATTGTTGTATGCTCTGATATGCATATTTTCATCAATTAAAAACATTTAAATAATTTATTTAAGACCCTGAGATGTGCACTGTGCCTTCACAGCAGTCAGAGCTGGCAAGAATCCGAGGCTGAGAGAGCCTGGGTGTCCCGTCGTCTGGCACCTACAGCCACAGGTGTAGAACGCTTCTCCGAGCTACTACCTACCATCAGATAGGCAGATTGTGAGGAGTCAACAGTTTCAGGACAGACACAAGAAAAATCCTTTAATAACACCAGGCTCAGATGCCACGGGTATATCCACTAAGGAAAACACTCTGAGAGAGATAATGACATTTGCTTCATGTTTTCACCAGGTCATTAGAAGCTGTTCCTCCCAGAGTCAATAGGAGGACACTTCCATTTCTCTCCTGGTGAAATTCTCCAAGAGGGTTCTGAGCAGGGTCCCAACCACCCCCCACAAAGAACAGTTCTGATGTAGGTAAATTTCTAATGATCTTAGAAATTCAGTCATATAGTCTACATGTATAGGGCAGGTATGGTGTGAACCCAATGTTGTTACTGTGTGCTGTCGACTTTACTCACAGGGACCCCAGAGGACAGACTCCGCGGGTTCCCAAGGTTGTCTGTCATGTTTAGGTGGCGCAGATCACCAGGGCTTTCTCCTGAGAGGCTGCTCAGTGGGTTTGAACTGCTGACCTTACAGTTAATAACCTAGTGCTTAGCCACTGCTCCACCAGAGCGAGACACATTCTCTCATATATGGTCATTGTTGTTGTTGTTAATTACCGTGGAGTCAGTTCCAACTCATAGTGATCCTGCGCAGTGTCTCTGAAGCTGTAAATCTTTACTGGAGCAGAACGCCTCATCTTTCTCCTGCGGAACCGCTGGAAGTTTCAAACTGCTGACCTTGAGGTTGGCAGCCCGACTCATAACCACACTATCACAGCTCTTTCATATATGGTAATGGATACAATTTATACCTGAACTTACTTATCATATATTTAATTATTTGTCTTACAATTTGCCATCAAAGTCCCTTATCCCAAATTAAAGTCTAGCTGACATACTACAAAGTCATTGAATCATGTAGCGTTCACCAATTCCTGTGAGAAACACACACTGAAACCTTGGGAAGGCTTTCTGTTGTAAAAGCCGGGCTTATACAATCCATATATTCCCCTTTTGGGAACCTGCACAGTGGTCGGGATGAATGACACCCCTGAAGTCATGCTGTAATGTCAGTCTGAAAAGGACACACAGGGGATCGCCCCACTTATACGAAACAAACATGAATGGAAACCAGACACTAACGGAGGCCAGGAGAGGAAGGGACAGGAAAGGCAGAGTTTTTGTTCAGAGGTCGGGGGACACTGACTTTGCTGATGGAAGTGGATGGAAATTTTTGTAAAGTCCTGGTATGACGCTGTGGGCTAAAGTGTCAGACTGTAAAGCCATTTGAACTGCAAGGTCGGTGGTTCAAGTTCACCAGCTGCTCCTCAGAAACCGTATACAGGGTCACTATGGGTTGGAATCAACTTAATGGTACTTAACAACTACAACATTGCAATAATGAAAGTACAACATGAAAAATAAAATCAGTAACAATGAATTTCAAATGTGCAAGTTATGCCGGTGAATGTTTGGATATATATTTTTTTACCATCATTTAAAAATAATTGACAATTAACCAAACGGCCACTTCCCATGAAGTGGGAGGGACCACAGGATGGCCAAACTCACAAGATGTCCAGTTCTCTATTTCAAAACCCTTTTTGTAAAAGGTGTTCTTCTTGTAAGACATCCTGTGAGTCCCAAGACAAAACTAAGTTACCATGCCTCAGACACATACCAAGTTCCTCTGAAGAAACATCAAGGTGTTCGCTAGGGGGTAATCAAGAGACAGACAGACAGACAGACAGACACACACACACACAGAAGGTCATAGTCTGGGTCACAGGTAAGAAACTGAGTCAAGGTCCCACCCCTTCCCCGTGTGATTTTGTTACTCCCATGTGAAAATACACAGAGTTAAACATGTAAGGTCAGATTAATAAAAGCTGTCTTCTCCAGTTTTGTTTAAAGAAAAAAGAGGCAGGAAGGAATAGCAAGATGGGAACGCTGGGTAATAGACAAGGTGAATTTGCATTTTCTACTTCCTGACCAAGTACATTTCTCATTTACTCAGTCAACCTTCACCTGGCTGCTATTTAGGGAGATGAAGGTTAGGGAGAAAAGCTTCTGGAAAGAAACCACGTCAATTGTACAAATAGCAAACTTGAATGTTCAGGAAGGAGCCATTCAGAAGGTCAAATGAAACAGTCCTGAAGGGTTCCACGTGTTCGGCTTTAACACAAGTTATGAGACAAGAGACCCACTCACCACAATATCTTCAGGAAACGTGTCTCTGCTGAAGGAGCCGTCGTCGAACACAACCTCGTAGAAGGTTTGAGACGTCACGGCGATCACCCGGCAGGTGTAGTAGCGGGTGTTCCGATGCTTGGTGATGACCGTCTGGCCCACCTCGATGGTCTTCTCGCAAATCTTGGGTTTGGGTTTCTACATGTGAGGAGATGGAGGAGAGGAGGAAGGAGAGGGAAAAGAGGAAAGGAAAGCAAAGGACAGGTAACAGAAAAAACTTATCATTAGAAAATAATTATTAATTGGACAAAGATATTTTAAATATTTTTAACTGGTAAGCAATTTCAAATTTACAGAAAAGTTGCAAGAATACAAATAGTACAAAATCACTTCCATATGCTTTTACTCCTATTGGCATTTTATCATTTGCTGTGGTTTGCATACTCTCTGTTGCTTTCTAGTTTATACATGTGTGTATGTAATTGGCCAGAGCTCGTCCATCTGTTTTGTTGTACAGTGGTGGCATGCATGTTTCTGTGATGCTGGAAGCTATGCCACCGGTATTTTGAATGCCCTCAGGGTCACTCACGGGGGATAGGTTTCAGCAGAGCTTCCAGACTGGGATAGACTAGGAGGAAGGAGAATGTTTAGCCACTGAGAACTTTATGAATAGCAGCAGTCCATTGTCCAATATAGTGCCAGAAGATGAGCTCCTCAGGTTAGAAGGCACTCAAAATACGACTGGGGAAAAGCTGCCTCCTCAAAGTAGAGTCGACCCTGATAACACGAAATAGAGTAAAGCTTTCGAGACCTTCGTTTGCTGATGGGAAACAACTCAAAATGAGGAGATACAGCTGCAAGCATCAATTAGTGATCAGAACATGGAATGTAGTAAGTATGAATCCAGGAGAATTGGAAATTGTCAAATATGAAATGCAATGCCTAAAGATCAATATCCTAGTCATTAGTGAGCTGAAATGGACTGGTATTGGCCATTTTGAGTCTGACAATCACATGGTTTACTATTCCGGGAATGACAAATTGAAGAGGAATGGTGTAACATTCATCATCAAAGAGAATTTCAAGATCTAGCTTTAAGTATAATGCTGTGTGTGATATAAATCAAGATCATAGAATTGATGCATTTGAGTTAGGGTTGGAGAAGAATATTTAAACTACCATGGACTTCCAGAAGAACAAACAAATTTTTGTTGAAACAAGTGTAGCCAGAATGCTCCTTAGAAGCTAGGATGGCCAGACTTCGTCTCTCATACTTTGGATATTTTATCAGGAGGGATCAGTCCCTGGAGAAGGACAACATGCTTGGTAAAGTGAAGGGTCAGCAAAAAAGAGGAAGACCCCCTATGAGATGGAATGGCAGCAGAAATGTTGATCAGGGCGCAGGACCAGACAGTACTTCATTCGGTTGTGTTGTGCATAGTGTTGCTATAAATTGGAGCCAACTCGATGGCACCTAACAATAACAGCATAGTTGTTGCCACACCGTAACACATAACAGTGCCACACACCACTAACTGGAGTACTGATGTGGCACTGTAGGACCAGCGTGGGACAGCTAACCACAGGATGGAAGTTCAAACCCACCAGTTACTCCTTAGAAACCCTTATAGGATCACTATGGGTCAGAACTGACTCAACAACATGACAACAACATATGTGTATAATGTATATATATACATAATGTGTGATGTAGCATTCCCCCATCACAAGCCATTTTAGGATTCAGTTATACATATTACACAATGTATTTGGGGGTAAAAGCCTGTAATCTCCTAAAACTGGAATATTCCCTCACATAGACTCACAGTATCAGTACAGGTTCTGGAAAATGAAAGAGGTTGGTATAAAAGGGGATACAGATTTGATAATTAAAGGCTGATTCTAGACCACAACCATCTTCTTCCAGCTTAAGACAAAATGTATGCAGACTGACTGATAGGAAAGTTGGCCAGTTCATAGATGAAATATATAACCCTCATCCAAATAAAAACCCTCCCAAGTGTGAAGCATGACCATTCCATGAGAGTACTGGGGAAAAAGGAATCTTTCATATGCTATTTTGATCAGCTTTCTGATTTACTCTTGCAGGAAAAAATTATTGACAAGCATGCCCCATAACTGATTACACATCCTCAAAACTATTTTCTGTCAGGAAAGCCTAAGAATCTATTGATGTTAAAGAATGTCATTTCTGATCACAGAAGACAGACGTTCTGCCAGGGGCTCCATCAGATTAAAGCAATGGCTGTGCTATTCTGAAGATTAGTGTACAGGCTAAAGTTGTGAAAGTCTAATTTTCTTTAACGTGCACTAAGCAGAAATGAACCAACAGTGGTTAAGAAAAAAAAAATGTTTTCCTCAAAAAAAAAAAAAAGAAAATCTAGTGCCAGTTTGAGATACTGGGGATGTGAAGAAAATGTTAAGAATGTTTTATGAAACTTTCACAAAAAGCATCACAAGAGGTCCCAAGAAGTAAGAACATATTTAGAATTTATAGCATACACTCATATACACATGAGTTCATTAAATTCTCCCAAGTCCTGTAAGTTAGCTGTGATTTTCCTTCAGTAGACTTAAGAAAAGTGACAGAGCTACAGCCTTTTCCAGTAAGTCTGTGTGGGTGTGAGGTCGAAGTGGGACTCAGAAGCAGGTCATTTGGGGGCAGCAATCTCCTTATCACATGATGGTCTCAGTGTCATCTACCCAAGAATCAACGTGCACAGGAAACAGAGAGGTAAGAAGGCCAACCAGGGAACTCAGGAAGTTCCTAAAGAAATGACATTTCCTGTTTATTTCTTGCCTACCATTTATACATACTCTTTTTGTTCTAGATATCTTTAAAGCTATTTCTCACATAAGAATTTGTATATCCACACACACACACAGGTATTCTATTATACAAATGAGATCACTATGAATACCTAATTTCAAAGTTGTGATGCACAGCGAAGAATAGTTTGAGAGCTCTATCAAACAGGAGTACTAGCGTGGCACTGTGTGATAATGTGCTAGACTGCAGTCAGTTTGAACTGCAAGGTTGGCGGTTCAAGCTCACCAACCGCTCCTTGAAAACCCTATACAGGGTCACTATGGATAAGAACCAACTCGATGGCACTTAACAACAACAACAACATTAAAAGGGCACCGTGATTTTTAATGCCAACAGAGTCAAAGAAATCGATGCTCATCATTTCCTGTTCAAAACGGAAAAGATTGCTAAATTCTCGTCAGAGTTTAGTGAAAAAACAATTGTAATTTTGTTCACATCCTTCAACAGAAAGATTTTTTCTCTTGGTACTAAAAGATTCTGTGACCTGGGATATTCATATTTTTATGAAAAAAAAAAAATGCTGTGGCCTGGTATATTAAGAAGCATATTAAATAAAAATGTCTCCTTCTGTTGTTGGGTCACTATGAGTCGAAGACAGCTCTGGTAGCATAGTGGTTACGAATTGGGCTGCTAACCTCAAGGTCAGTAGTTCGAAACTACCGGCTGTTCCATTGGAGAAAGATGAGGCTTTCTGCTCCTGTAAAGATTTACAGCCTCGGAAACCCTGTACAGGGTCGCTATGAGTGGGAACTGACTCCGCGGCACATAACCACCACCACCACCACCACCACCATTAAATAAAATGAAAAAAATACTTGGAAGATAAGTATTCTCTTATCAGACCTTACACCTGGAAGGAGGGTCAGGCAGCACAGGATCAGATGAGCCCTGAATGGCGATGTCATGTTGGGGAGACCCCTGCTGGTTCTCTATCTGTATTCAGGCAGACCATGCCTGTTTCAGTGCATGTCACCTTTTTGCCCTTTGTGGATTCTGTATTTTTCACAAATGGTATGTTTGTAGATCCTGCGTTGAGCAAGACTACAGGGGTCATTTTCCCAAAAGCCTGGGCTCACGTCATGTCTGTGTCACATTTTGACCATTCTCACAATATTTCAAACTGTCTTCATAATTCTACTACACACTTGACAAATAACATTTTAGTCCCATCATAACTTTTATAGGCACTGGGAAGCCAAAAACACCCTGTGCCTCACTTCACTGTGCTATTTGATCGTGGTGGTCTGGAGTTGGGCGCGCAGTACTTCCAAAGTCTGCCGGTCATGATGCTGACAGAAGTTTGGATGCAAATTCTGTGATGTAAGTAAAGGGTGAAGAGCCAACAGGGCTGAGAGGTGAAGCAAGGAAGCCAACTGACCTCCCCAACACACAGGCCCAACCGCACATTTCCACGGATACCCAGTGACCCTTTCATGTCCTAACTTCGTGATTTCTCCTTAATTTCCTGTGAAACGTAATTACTGTCGTTTTTCAAGGACTTCCATCTTACAAAGATCCCTCAGGGACCTGAGTCAATGACGAATACCAACTAGTCTGTTTTTACCAAACTTTCATGAAAGTCACTCATTGGAATTCACCTTGTAATAATGAAAGCTTTCTTTGTAAGACTGCATGGGCCAGGTCAAAATCCTCTATTCAGAAAGCCCTAGGTCCCTGCGGTTTCGTGAGAAATAACTGCTGTTACAGCGCACAAATGCACACATGGACTCATAAAAATGTCATGAGTATTATCATTTTCTACATGTCTGTTCGTTCACGTGTGCCTGTATTTCTCAGGGGGTTTTAAATGAAAACATATAATAAAGTGGGGGATGTGTTTGTTAGTTTTTTCCAGTAGATTTGAGGTCTTATACGCTGTAACACTGAAGTAAAACCTAACCACCTGCAGCAGACACTGGGTGTGGTGTTGGGGGAGGGGTGTGTAATTCTTTTCCATCTGGATCACTCATTCATCTCAGAAGTCAAGATCTGGGTGGATGAGGAGAGAGGGATGGGGTAGGAGGGCACCTCAGAGGCAATGAGCGAGATCTCCAGCATGCTGTGATGCAGAAAGCACTTAGCATGTAGGTAGGCATCACCTGCTGATAACTCACTATGTCAATGGGAGTTTGCCATCGGGCTCTGCTGACCTGAGATCTGATACGCCTTCTCCTAGAATCATGTTCCATCTCACAGGACACTGGGTTTACCTTAGCTGTTTACAGAGCAGCAGGAATATGGGCAGGAGAATATATACACACAATCCCAATCATTCATAGCAGCTGTGTGTGTGTGTGTGTGTGTGTGTGTGTGTAGCAGTAAGCAAGAAGATTCTAAAATGTATGTG